CCTAAAGTATCCTGTGCTCACGGAGAGAATTTTTTGAGTCAATTGCTTTGATCCGGTGAACATGTGTATAAAGGTAAAAAGTATTTGATCCAAGAAAACAACCAGGATTAATTCATGCCTTTTGGATCAAATACCTTTGACCTTTTGGATTCATGCCTTTCCTGAATACCTAAGAACTTATCGTGGTGTTCCTTTTTCTTGATGCCCTAAGCACGTGCATATATTGCGTAATGGTTCATCCAGCCCTTGTCAAAGTCTATGCCTGCAACCCAATCTCATCATAATATTTCCCAGGTAGAATTAATGGTATTGTAACTCACTTGCTGCCAGGCTTTGCTAAATGAGAGTTAGCGGGAAATATTAAAATGATGTTTTCAGACTGGATATGAAACTTGGTGCTTTGCTTGTGATCCTGAAACACAAAAAGGCAATCATCGACTTCGGTTGGCGAAGATTCATCATGGTCACAGGAACCTTGAGCAAAGACCATGTTCTGACTTTCTTTAATTAATTGGAAAGGTATAACTTACAAGGTATTTGTTTTTAGGGAACAGACTGTGAACTTTGTATTTTACAAAGACGTCACGGACAGAGCTCTGAAGAGAATTCAGTGCGTTAAGCCTGAAAAAACTTGATCGAATATTTTTAAAGACAGATATGTTTACAGATATGTTTTAGGATTTATCATATATGTACTTTTAAACGCCGTGTTAATTTAAAAATTAGCGTTCAAATGGCAAAATATCTACTTTGTTGTAACTGTGTGTGTTGAACATCTGTACAAATTTGTGAACATATTCTAGAGACTATTAGGATCTTCGAAGCGAGAAATATGAGTAGTCAGTTTCAAAGTAATTACAGTGAAGCATCTTATGGACGCCCTTTCTGAAATTTGAACTACAGATCTTTCAGTTTCAGTTAGCTGTGCTGACTACGAGCACCATGAAATTACGCATGGGGGATGGGATTATTCTTTAGAATAATTCGAATTGTTAGAAGACAAAGAAACTTTGGAAAATAAAATAAAATAAAATTGCGAAGAATTTGCTTAAGAATAAAATTAAAATAACATTGCATAGAAAGAGTTGCATAGAAAGTATGCTGAAAGTATTCTTAAAGCCCACTTTGTTAAAATCCAAATGTGTGTCGTGTTTGGTTTGTATTAAGGTACGAAATGATATGAATTGGAATGGTTTATCTGGAAGTGAAAAGCCTATACTAACCAACTTAAGAGAAAGCATATACTTTCTTGACCATGTACTAATGCAGTAAAGGGTAACCTTAAATTCCAGAATATTGAAGCGCTACCAACTGCGGCTGACGAACTAAATTATTTGATTATACCCTATGTGGGAAGTTCTTCCACCTTATCACAACCACATCGCCTGGCATATAAACTTGCAGTAGAAAAGACAAACCCACAGTTTGCTCATTCATTTTCTCATCAATAATAGTCACGCATACAAGCCCAGTCCATATCTCTGTGTGTCTAAAACTATGAGAACGTATTGACAACTAATGCACTATGTTTGCGGGCCGCGTAAAACTGCTTCGAGGACTACCAGTTTTAGACCGCTGCTTTATATATTATATTTTAATTTACCGTAAAATGTTTAAGGGAGGGAACTGTAACGGTACGGCAAAATTATGTTATGAATTTAGTCAAAATGATTTCTGAACGAAGCCAGTTTACATATTCTTATTAATGTTATCTTAAAGCTCTGAACTAGGATTTTATCTCAACCACATTGGCTTCTTCGAAATGCACCAGTTATCAGTTTTCTGTTCTCTTTTTACACAGTAACTTTTTCTTAATATTTATAAAATTTATTAAAACATTCCTCGACATTCTTCTGTGTCGGTCGCTTTTCTTCTTCTTCTACTTAGATTTATAAATATCAAAATATCCCTCGACGCTCTTTTATATTGGTGACTATTTACCATCCCGTCGCTTGCAATGTCAGCTTGGGCACTAGAATCTTTAACGATGCGGGGCAGCTTATGTCATTTCTTTTCGGGCGGAACTGGCCATCACTTTTTTATTGAGCGTCCACTCTCTCCAGTCGTACGTATATGTGTGTGTGAAAAAAAAAATCTCGCTCTCACTCCCATTCTATCCAGCACGGCGACGGCTCTTTGTAAAAGATCCCATCCCCGCTCTTGGTAAAACTACTTTTCAAAGATTTTCGTTAAGAAAGGCGCGAATTCCCACGGAATTTCTTTTCTCTTTCCTTAGCTTTTCTATTTTTTTCTTGTCATTGGCATTTTTCCGTCTATTGTTTGGCACCGACTTTTTCGGTATGCGAGGCCACGGTACTTGACATTGCCACATTGACGAGAAGAGCGGAATCTAGCCAACCCCTCTTCTTACTTGTGGTACTTACAGCATTTGTTGCATGCGCCGCAGCGTAGGATGTAGAGCATTTTTCTGAACAATGTCTGAGCATCAAGTACTTGTTGAGGGTCGCTTGTTATTGATTTACTTTATTTGTCCATCCCCGCGGAAGAAAGTATTTATATCTTTGTGGTATGGTTAAAAAGTCCCCCCCCCCCCCCCTTAATTCCTTGTTATTCTCAATTTTAGCTGTAACTTAAGTCTCAACTTCGAACTAGACTCTTTTGGAATGGGGATGGGGTGATTTATAAGAATCAATCTTTTTTGGGGGGGGAGGGGGTTTGTAATTTTTTCTCTAATTCTGTGCCCTTGTAAAAAGGCAAGTTTCTAAATCATGAATTGAGAGAAATGTTTTTCAAAGACTAATTCTTTACTTTTGTTTGGAAAGGGGTGTAGTTATTATCTTATTTTATATCATTAATATTGATATAATAAAACCACGATTCATGAATTTTAATTCGGTCCTGAAGGCTGTTCGTTTGTTTACCTAAATGTTCGTAAACTGAAGCAATTTTTCCCATAAGAATTCATGTGAAATATATTAATCCGTCCCTTGACAGCAAATGATTGCTTATTTAGAATTACTTTGTGCACAGGTAACCCAAAACCAACGAAAGCCGTTAAATATAAAACAAAAAAGATAAAGAAATGTTAAATATTAGATAAAATGCATGAACACTTAATTTAGTTTTATAGTAGAGTGAAAGGTATAAGTGGAATGTGAGGGGGAAGATATAATTGTCTGGATGCGGAATTCCATACTATAAAACAATCTAGTAATTGTCTTTAAGGAATATCTTCTCTCTCTCTCTCTCTCTCTCTTTTTTTTTTTTTTTTTTTTTTTTTTTGTGTGTGTTGTGTGTGTGTGTGTGTGTTTGTGTTTCACTCAAAAGTTTTCAAATATGATTTCTTGCTGCTTATGTTTAAAAATATTTCTTAAAATTAAATGTAGCATTGTAATTGAAAATGCTTATGCTATTGTGCTGTAGGTTGAAACTGCTTCATCAAGGGAATATTATTTCGTGAAAACTAAATCTTACCTCATTTTCCACAATTAAGCACAATTATCATTTTTCTTCTGAAAACGTTTATTCCACAATCGCCTTTGTTGCTGCTTTTGAAGTTGTTCTTTCTTGTTGAAAACATTTTTATGGTCCTCCCAGGAACTTATCCATGTCTTCATGGTTAACTTCCTTACTGATGCCTTTTCTTAGAGGCATAATGTCATAGTTCACACAAAAAATCCGAAGTCTCACTGGTGCTCAAAGTCAAGGGCGGATTAAAAACCTTTAGAGGACCTAAGCGCTTAAAAGATTTTGGTGCCTCCACATTTGTTTACGGCAGTTTTTTCTTCAGTCCTTCTTTCTCTCTGTTTTGATTTAGCTGGATCATGTATTATATGGTAGAAATTTTTGGTGCCCTCTTTCCTGGATACTTAAAGACTTATTGTGGCGTTCCTTTTTCTTGATGCCCTAAGCACATGCATATATTGCTTAATGGTTCGTCATTCTTTGTCAAAGTCTGTGCCTGCAACCCAATCTGGTCATTTCCCAGGTAGAACTGTATTGGTATTGTAACTCACTTGTTGCCAGGCTTTGCTAAATGAGAGTTAGCGGGAAATATTAAAATGATTTTTCAAGAAGCCCCTCAATATTAATTCTATGGTCAATTGTTCAGAGGCTACTTCAAAACATTTTCGAAAATAATATGTTGCCGATTGGATTTTCGTAACTCGAAACGCCGTTTATTATTTGAGGCCTTTCTTGTTCGAATAATTTGTATTTGAGATCAGAGGTTCAGTCGTATAAGAAATGTTACTAATAACATTATTATAATAGCCCTTTCACATTTTAATTCGCAAATTAGACTACTCATTTGAGAAAACTTAAAATGTAATAAGGGATGAAAGTAGCCTTTTCTGTTTGATAACATTCATGGATTTGTCTTTATTGAACAACATACAAACTTATTTCGTTTACCATGCTTATTCGAAATTGAAGTTGTAATGCTATTTCTGTGTCTTATGTAATGAATGCCTGTGTAGATCAACTATTCGAATAGGTAATTTTATATGCACATAAATCGTGCCTTAAAATGATATGCACTATAACAGATGCATTTATTTAAAAAAAAAAAAAAAACTTATATAAAGCTGTATAATTAGTTTTTACTCCATTTCAGTCTTCCGATGGAGAAAGAGAAACGTTTTTCGTTTCTTCTTTCTGAAAAGAGATAAAATGTAATATTTTTGCTTAATGTTTGAAAAATATCTAAAATAGTCCACATATATTTTTACTTGTAGTTATGCTTAAGAACCCCTGAAAAAATAGCCCATCTTTGGTGATAATATGATAAGATACATATTATCTTTCTGACGCTATATGCACAGGAATGAATAGAAAGACAAAGTAAACCTGGAAGACTGCTTTATAGGGCGACAAGACGGGCAAACCGAGAGCAGACAGACATTTTAAACTTTAGTTGGACAGTTGGAAGACCGAGAGCAAGGAACATAGCATAGATTTTGAAAGCAGGCTACTTTTTTGCGGCCACCCTATATTTGCAGTACTTATTCTTGGAACTAAAAGAATCTTTTGTTCTTTAGGTTTTGGAGCAGAGGGCTGATGGTAGATGGCGAGGCATCATTTTCCATCCTAACTACACTTCTCAGAGCGGATACTTCCCTGCCACTGCTGTTCAGCTGTTGGACAGACCAGGTAAGAAAGCATTTTTATTTATGAGTGAAATACAGTGGTATTTTGTTTGATGGTGATATTCTTTCAGGAAACGAGAGCAGTCATCTTTTATTGCCAATGAAAAATACCGTAAATATCTAATAATCTGGTAATGCGAGAATTTGAACTTGGTCTGGTTGTGCGGTGAAAATGACTTTGTAAATCCCTTTTAATGTACTACAGTACAAAGTCCGTAATCCGGACTCGTCGAGACTTCGGCGATTCTCCGGATTATAGATCATCAATTTAAATCTGGTAAGATGGCATGCAGAAATTATACTTAAAAGTATGAAACCGTAATTTATGAAATAAAGGGCAATTATGATCATGGGTATCAAATTTTACAAAAGAAAAGCTTAATATTTATTTGTTTACTTTATTAAACATTTCTTTCACGCGCGCATGCATAAAGCATACGCGCGTAATGTATGCGCATTCGTTACGCGCATGCGTAAAGCATACAAAAAAGTTTATGGCTTTGAGGTCCGGATTATAGATCATTCCGGATAATGGACGTCTGGATTGCAGACTTTGTACTGTATAAGAATAAAAAAAATTTAAACGATATATGCAGTAATTTTGAGAATGCCTGTGATGACTGAAAGCATAGTAGAAAATTTACTGCAAAATTCGCGTTATTTAATATTTTTAATAAGTTTATGGTTTGAAATCTGATGTATTCCTGTTGAACAAAGCATCTACCAGGATTTGTAACAGAAATTCCAGCGAAAGATGTATTCTACTATTGAGTTTCATCCCCTTTGATAACATCCACTGAATGAGAATTCTGACGACTTGAACAACCTCTCGCTATGTCTGGGAAATCACAACAGAGACTTGGAAAGGTTGTAAATGAATCTTTTATTAAATCAGATAAATTAATAGAAGGCACAGCTTGTGTGTACAGAATCAGTGAGCATTTATGGCTTAAATCAAAAGTCACGAATTGAACTTAATCAAGTAAATTTCAGTTAGTCCAACGGCTACACGGAGAGAATGGCGCAAACCTAATATCGACCTGATAAGCTTAATGGCGAAAATAACGCAACGCCGCAAGTAAACTGCTTTGAAGAGAATCAACTAGTAACGTGGCATTGAACAAGCAGAACATGCTCTGATTCTACAGTGTAAAATCTGCCTTTAAATACTATCTCTTTCTACCACATTTGGACACGCGTGAACTAGATATTGCGTAGTATTCTGGGAAGAAAATAAGCGAGAAAGACAAAAGAACTAGTTAACATAAAAATAAATGAATACTCTACACTACAGTATAAAGTGTGTGTTTGAACTTAAGCAAGTTATGAAACATATTATTGATTGAAAACAAAAGCGCTGTGATTATAAATGGTTAATGCTAAATGGCCTCTCGTAGCTAATTTACATTTGCTCATTTCCTTTCGTTGGGAATACGATATGTCGTTGTCGTCGCCGTGGAATTTGGTGGCTAGTACGAAGCTGACCCACAGTTATTTAAATATTTATTTTTAAATGGGCTGTGTCATTGGATTATGTTATCAGGTGCCTTTTATATATAAACTATTGTATGTTTACGGTTTGTGATGTATACATAGGTGAAGTAGCTTGAATGTATTAAAGTTATTATTGCAAAACAAAACTTCGCAGTCCTATTTTGGTTTACGGTCATTAAACGCCAATTCGTTATGGTATTTGTAAACTGCGCTAATATTCATGCGTTTATTCATGCGTTAATAATCATTTTCTTTCTGAATTAACCTATGAACTGATGAAAATCGTGAACATGTGCATTCAGCACAATATTTATTCATATCTATTTAAGTGCTTGCCAGTGGCCGAGTGGGTAAGACCACTAGACTATGGAGGTAGGAATTATCCTTACTTCTATGCACTGGTCACTATAATTAGGCAAAGGGTTGAAATCCCAAAGCATACGCTGGCTCCGGGGGCGTTTAATTTATATTGTATAGCATGAATACAAGCTCCTTTTTTAGGAAAATCTTCCACGAAAACCTACTTTCCTTAGATAGATGTTCTTCGTGTGCGTTGCCTCAATCAATTAACCAACAATGTCACCCCCCCCGTAAAAAAGTTTTTTCCTTCTTACAGCCGTTAATTTTCAAAAGAGAACAGTAGGTAACATCAACTGTAATGCCAATTTTCTGAACTTTTTTACATGTTCTCCATATGTCTATCGGATTATCGGAAACCTTAATTATATAACGTTCATCTTTTTATTTGCTAATATAAACTTTTCTTACTGTTTCATGCCATTGACCGCTAGCCTGTAAAATGGCGTTTGAAACGGAACTCATGTTCGGGATAGCATGTATAATTATCGGTTGATTTATAATTAGTCAACTGAAGAGAAGAAATGATGACTAAACTAAAAATTAATGTAACATCTTGAGACACAGATTGCAGTATCTGTGTTACGTTTTACATAATATCGGTACATTTTCTGGAGCAGATTTTCCGCTTTTGCCACTGTATGTTTGCATTATATTTTGGGTAAATATTTAATGAAAGTGAGCGTAAAACCTTTTTCTTTTGCTTTTAAATGCTCCTAGAATTCTGAAGCATGCTTTTAAATGCTTCCAAAATTCTGAAGCAGAAATGTGTTTTCATTTAGTTCGAAATCTAAGTTATTTATTCTAAAGCATGTGTAACAACAAAATTTGTATAAATGAAGCGGTTTTATATTTAATGAACAAATTTCGGTACTTCCTTATTATAGCCACCCCCAACATGCAATTTCTAATCAACCGACATGTAACATGTAGCGAGGTATAAGAACACGGCGTGATTTCGGCGAGGTATCTCGATTGATTAGTGATTCAGTCTTAGGGGCCGCTATAATAAGGAAGTACCCAAATTGTTTTATTAAATATTGAGCACGGTTCTAGTTCAGTGGGGTTATTTTATATGTAATCATGAATATTGACCGAAAACTGGAGATTCAGAAGACTAAAATTAACTATTCGGGTGTTACTTACAACCATTGCCCTGATTTTGATGACTAAAAATTCGTAAAAATGCCCTTAAAAATAGCCAGAAAATGCACATAAGATGGAAAAAATGCCCTTAAAAATTAAAAAAAATGCCCTTAAAATCCTTTCAAACAGGCAAAATTAAAAACCTGTCACTTGATTTGTTTTTTTTTTCCGTTAAGTACCCCCCAAACGTCTTTTGCATTCATGGCATTAATAATTCGATATTCCCTTTTTAAAAAGGGAAAGATCTAAGCTATTCGTAACTTACCCAACGAACTTAAAGCAAGCAAAAAAAAATGAAGTAAAATAAAATAAAATAATTTTATGGAGGCTAAAAACATATTGGGCACACTGCTTGACGGTGCATTGCAAAAGTATGCATTTGAATAATTTTTTAATTCGATTATTCCTTTGGGGAATAACATGCCAAACAAGAAAAAAGAATTCTCGCTGTGAAAAAAATAAGTGACACTAAAAGGGGGAAGCCTGTCGTGATAGAAAGGACTGACAGATTAATATTCGTTTTTTATAGTTGTTCCTGCTTAGTAAAATGAGTTCAAAGAGTTGAGACAAGTTTATTTCAGGATAATTTATTTTTTCGTTTGATTTCGTTATTTACAGTCTGAAAAAAAGGTGTAAACCGAAAAAAAATAAAAGTAAAAAAATTGTTTCTCAACAAGTTAGGCTTGCAACTATTTTTTGTTATTTTAAAAATTTTTATAAGCTCAATGTGCTAGAAGTATAATCCGGAGTCCAAATAAAAAAATTTGGCAATTAAAAATACCGCTTCTTCGGAAAAAAAAAAAAAGCTGTAAAAAAGAAAGAAAAAAAAAAAAAAAAAAAAAAAAAAAAAAAGGAAAAAAAAAAAAAAAAAAAAAAAAAAAGGAAAAAAAAAAAAAAAAAAAAAAAAAAAAAAAAGAAAAAAAAACATTCCTGGGCTGTTGCCAACTAAAAATTAGTGTATTTAGATCAAGTGCTTTTAATGTTGTCTAAATGGTTGGTCCCAAATACTCTAGAATGTGATCTAATGAATTTAGATTTTTTTTTCTTACAATTTATAATACCTGGTAGCTTGTGAGATCCAGATAGTTTTGTTTCATTTTTTAGATATTTTGTTTCAATCAGATCTGAGAGCACTGTAACTTATGCTTTCCACATGACTGTTGCGTATGTCCTGTTTTAATTGACTTAAAATTGCGAGTCGGCATTTGAAACTTCTTAATAATAAAATATAATGAGATCCATTTGCGCTTTTGCAGCTGACGATGGTGGTTCGGTAAAACCATCGAAACTAGTCCTTTGAAAATTTGAAAATATAATGCTGATTTTTGTTGTTTGACTTCTGAATTAGTATTTGTTCGGCGTGTTATTGTGCCTTAAGTACATTGAGTTATTAAAAATTTCTTTTTTTGTTAGCAACGTCTTTATTTAGCCATTTCAATCATAGGTACTTATCCTAGTAGTAGTATGGTAAGCCTACTCGGGAACAATGAATGTCCTGCTAGTCATTAACTCTTAAAAAATGTACTATTTTGAAAAACTTACACCCTTGAGTACCTGCGTTTGCATGGCTACCACAGTTAATGTGCTTCTTGAGAAGCGATTTGCAAATTTATGGCATTCCATTCTAAATTTTTGCTATAAATTGTTGTATTTCATCAGAATGTACGTACGAACGTTGACAACTCATCTTTATCCTACCCCAGTTTCCATCTTAGGGGTGAAAGTAGTTCCTCTTCAAATATTACTTATAGCGGGCACGAAATGGGTCTCTTTTCTGACATTATCGTTACCAGATGCGTGTGTGTATGTACTGGAGGATAGCATGCTGGCTTACTTTCATTATTTGTATTTGGCGAGCGGAGCGTGGCGCCTGCATCCAGATGTGACACGATTTTTCCTCGCCAAGTTGATGACTCTGGTCCTCGAGTGGTAGAGCCAGTCGCGTAATTTGACGGGCGGTAGATCCTAATTGAGGGTTAAACCGTGAAACACGATATTTAATATAGC